AGGAAGCCATCGGCGAGAGCGCCAAGCTCATGAACCCCCTCACGGTCCGAGCCCAGGCGTGCGGGGTGGGGCGCGGTGGGGCCTGGAGAGAGAGGGGGCTTGGGACGCGCGGGGGGCGCTGATTAGCAGGTCCTGAGGGCAGGGCTAGGTGGCCAGGTGGGCGGAGCCACTGGTGGGGCGTGGATTAGAATCGGAGGTTTTGCTTCGGCGCTGGGGTGGGTGAGGCTAGATTGAGGAGTCGAATGGAGAGAATTCCGAGGCCCACATCTTTGGGTCCCTGGGGGGTCATCGTCCGGTCGGGACACATGCACACCTGAGGGACCACTGTAGAACCAGGAGCCCTGTATTCCTGAAGTGTCGCGGCGAGGCGAGGACGCCAGGCTCCCCACAGGGACGTGGTCGGGCTGGCGCCCCTGGGTGCGTGGAGGTTTTAGTGAACTGGGGAAACCTGGGGTCTCTGCGGGACTGTAGTGAGGCTCCTGAAGGGACACGGAGAGCGCGCAGCCCTGGCTTCTGTCTTAGCGCCCCTCCGCTCGCCCCACGCAGAAGTTCAACACGCCCTGGCGCCGCTTCTTCACGTCCATGCCCGTCTACGCCATCATAGTGGCCAACTTCTGCCGCAGCTGGACCTTCTATCTGCTCCTTATCTCTCAGCCCGCCTATTTCGAAGAAGTGTTCGGCTTCGAGATCAGCAAGGTTGGGCCCAGGAGGGGAGGGAAGGGGCGCAGGGGGGTTGAGGGAAAAGGGTTTGGGCCTGAGTCCCAAGGGGTTGGAATGAGGGACCGGGAGGAGCCAGTGCGCACGACCTGAGCCCCTGCGCTGCACTCCCACTGGCGCAGGTGGGCCTGGTGTCAGCGTTGCCCCACCTGGTCATGACCATCATCGTGCCCATCGGTGGCCAGATCGCGGACTTCCTGAGGAGCCGCCGCATCATGTCCACCACCAACGTGCGCAAATTGATGAACTGTGGGGGTGAGTGGGGCGGGGTCTAGACCTGGCCAGGGACAGCCCGGGAAGGGCAGAGCGCGGCTGGGCGCATCCAGGGGTGGGGCCGCAGAAGGATGGGGTCGGGCCAGAGGGGGTGTCAAGGGACGTGTGTCCAAAAAGGTGGAGTCAGGGTGAGCCTGGGCCTGGATGGAACTGAATCTCAGGTGGCAGTCACAGGGTGTGTGTGTGTGTGTGTGTGTGTGTGTGTGTGTGTG